ATTTAACCATTTTTCACTTAGAGGCAGAAATGAATCAAAGTGACACGTGAAGAGTGGATAGATGTCTTTAATTCTAAAAGTAACAAAGCCACATTAGAAAGTCAACCAAAATCTCATGCAGCTCCCAACCCCCAGCACTTCATCCTCCCACAGCCCCCATGGCCTCTGCAGGCCGATGCCCACCTCTGGCAGCGAGAAGCCCTCCCCCACTTTTACAGCTTCCTCCTCATACTCGGCTGGCTGGCCGGGAGTGACACTTCCTGTTCATGTGCAAACACTGCACGGCACACCGTAAACCCGTGATGCTGCTTCCTCACTGTCCTGGCATCTCCACCTCACACTGCAGTCACGCTGGAAATGAGGAACTTTGTGGTTGTGGTGTGCTCACCGGAGTGCACCCGGACCCTGGCCACACCCCACGCCTCGACCTGTGAGGCACCCATTCCGGGGCTATCCAATTTTGGCACAGGTGCACGGCTGATCACTTCACTGGTTTGGCTTTTGGTTGGTGAACTCCTTGAGTACCAATTCCAGAGCGATCGGACATAAACAGAACCCTATCATTTCAAATGTTGCTAGGTACTGCCGAATCAGGACTAACCCCTCGCTGTGCTCTGTCCAACAGACCCACCACTGCCGGTCCTGCACCATCCTCACGATTGTTACCCCATGAGCCCAATGTCGCGGCCCCCTAAGCCATCTCTCAGTGACCCTCCTCTTTGCCAAGCAGATGTGATAGGTCAACTCATTTTCTTCTATTAAAAGGATGCAAAGCCATTTTTAAAAACGGTTTCCTCTTTTACATGCCTGGCACGTGCAGGGCTAGTTACTGTGTGGTCTGAGGCCCCTCACCTCACCCTGCCCTTCCAGTCTGTGTCCATGCAGGCCCAACGAACTGCAAGCTGGCACTGGTCATTGGACCTGGCTTGCAGGAGCTCGCCAGGCCAGGGTCCTTGGCCCTGCGTCTATGCAGCATTTATAACAGCACAGCCAGATGTTGCTCGACGGTGCCATTCACAAATACCAACTCATCTGCTGCTCTTAACAAGCTAGGAGGGAGGTGCCATATGAGTCA